CAACGGGTGCGGCTGAACCATACCAACCTCTGACTCACTGTCTTCTGTTCCCAGACACACAGACTTTCACACTCACTAAACAAAGGTTCTTCCACTCAATCCAGACATTTATTCAACCCTGACAACAAAAGCTTTCACTTTCTTCTCCTACCCAGCCTAAACTCTGTTGTCTTCCTCACATGCAGAACAGAGGCCATCAACTCCCACAGCTTCCTGACCACGCACCTTGCTTCCTTCCCCAAAACCAGTGTGGCAGGAGCCCTTCCTCTTATCCCACCTGACTTTTACCACAGTATTTAAATATGCCCAAGGAGTACTCAACTTACCCATTTTCTTCCCTTCACAGACAAGGGTTTTTTTTGTTTGTTTGTTTGTTTTTAATTAAAACGGTCAACATTCACTGTGTACATCTCACCATATATTACTTCTCAGCCTCCTGTAATCTGGATCATTCCTTCATGTCCAGAGGGTAATAAATAATCTCTTTGTTGCTAAATGTGAAAGACTCTCCAGTCCTTATTTTACTTAATCCCTCTGTAGCCACTGTTAACTGCTACCTCTCAGGTCCCCAGTCTTGCCTCACTTTCCTCCTATTCTCTGACATGCTTCTGCAATCTCCATTCTCTTTAAGACTTCTTTATATATCTATTCCCTGGCTCTTTGCTTGACCCTGACGACACATGCTCCCTACAGAAGTTCACCCCCTCCTACAGCTCCCCACTTATCTCTGTACTGCTCTGTCCCACAGTCATCTCCAGCTGAACATGCTCCCAAATTCCATTTACTCACTTCCTCCCAGACCTTGTCCCTCTACTTCTATTTCCAGCCTTGGTAAAAAACACCATCTACTGTGGCCCACACCAGATACCAGATAAGGATGCTGTCACAGCTCTCAAAACACACTCGGGACAATCCTCGGGTTCCCAGTAATTCTCAAACACATATGTCTCTTTATCCTCATTGCCACTTCCACAGTCTTGGCTCAAACCCTCCTCAGGACTTCATCAACAGCCTCCTAACTCCCATCTTGCCCCTTCCCAACTACTCATCACAAGGCCACAAAAAGATCTTCCTAAGACACAAATACAATTCTATCACCTCTGCTGTAAGATTCTTTAAAAAGCCCAAACCCCTCAGCATGACATAACAGGTCCCTCAAGATCTGACCAGACAGCTGCTTGCTTCTAGTTCCACTTAAAGCCACTCTTCCCTGATGTGCTACTAGAATACAGCCAAAACTAAATACTCATAGGCCCAAAGTATGTGGCATGGTCTCTTTCCACCTCTGTGTCTCCAAACATGGGCTTCCTTTGCCTGATAAGTCCTGCCTAACTTGGCCCAGCCAACTTCCCAGTGCTAGGACCCAGCCTGGATGGCCTCCTCAAGAAGGCTTTCCCTGACTGTACCCCTTACCCCTCATGAACTAAGGGATGCTCACAGGTGCTCTCATACGTTCTTCTCAGAGCAAGTAACACCCTGAATGCAATTATATTGTCTGCTCAGTTCTCTGCCTCCCCCACCATGAGGCCAAGGACTGTAACTTATTGCTCTTATGATCCCCAATGTATAAGTTCAGTGGCTGGCACATAAATGTCTGTTAAAAAAGAACATCTGATGATATTTATATTTATATCATATGATATATGATAAATATTAAAGAACTTCTAATGTCTGTTTTGCATGAACCAATATTGCCCTCTTCTGGTCAGTACATTACCACACCAAATTCTTAAAAAAATTTTTGTCCAAGTATTACATCAAGAATGTGTGAAACCAGTTTCAAGGGAATAAGATAAAGTTAAACTTAAACCAACTTAACACAATGCTGGTGGTCACAACTACATAACACATATTACTATGTAAGGCTTTTATCTGTGACACAGGAGAGCCCAATCACCCCAATTCATCAAAGGAGGGACTTCAAAAAGAATTTAATACAGAAGTAATGCTTTTTAACAGATTATAATATGAGTCAAATTAACATAAAAAATTCCATTTGGACCTCTTTCAAATAGCTTGACCATTTTTAACTAGAAATATTTTCTGTTTCTTTTAAAACGTTGCTTACAGACAAAAAGATTCTTAATGCTAAAATGGCTTTGGGAAACGTACCAATGTCGTAAGCCATGAAATCTGAAGAGAAGCATTTGGCTCCATGGCTCATGGATGTGTCATTGTGTGTGTTTCCTCCAAACACCAGCATGGTTCCACTCACTATCACAGCTGTGTGCAAGTAACGGAAAAATCGGCTGTCCTTAAGAATAGTCCTTTTGAGTTTATTTAAAAATAATAAATACAAGGTTAGTTCTTTAGAATATTTATCATCTATTTGCTAATACAAACATAACCATTTTCTTAACTTCAGATCCAAGTGTGCAAATAATTCTAGATTTTTCTCTGTATATAAGTAACTTTCTCAACAATAAACATGTAAAATTGAAAGACGTATGAGAATTTTGATATGTTAAGAGCCTTAAAAATGTTCATACTCTGTGTTCATACTCTATAATTCCAGTTTCTGAGTAGATATCATGTGAAATATGGATGGAAGCTTACATATGTTTTATTAATAAGACAAGAGCAAGAAACCAAAACTTCCAACTGGATACCCACATGATGGATATCCCACATGATGGAGTATTACACAGTCACTAAAAATGACAATTTTAATGACAGACAATGTAAAATGGTATCCACAGCATGGTCTCAAATATGTAAGGAAATATGAAAAGAAACCATTGCTTCATAATTATATTATTTCATAACTCAAATTTGCTTTACATTTCTTAAGATTAGCATACTTTATATAGACCAATATATAGCAGAGTGAGGACAGGTCTAATCTTTTAGGTACTGAGACCACCTCTGTTTGATGATTTCATGGAATGATGCCAGTAACTGACCCTAATGATAACACCTTGGTCAGCAAGAAAAGGTTAAAAAGTGGCTATATTCTACTTAATTACAACAGTGTGCATAAACTCAGCTATGTAGAACAATTTTTTCCTTAGGATTCTGAAGAGCTAAAATTTTACAGTGGTACTGAGTGTATGAAAATTGAAAAACAGTCAAAAAAAAACAACAAAAAACCCCAAGATTCTAATCAACCTACTACAAAATTATAGATACTACTACTTTATTACCTTCTGCTTATTTCACAATTTCTGTTTACAACGATGAAGAGAATTATCTGCAAGGACTGAAAACAAAAATGTAGCACAATTTTCCCAGCAATTGCCAGAATTCCCACCTTAAAGTCAAAGCTCAAGAAAAAGCACCCACCACATCTGGGTGTCCACATTGTATCTGTAGAGATCATCTGCAAGCCGGTATTTATTGGCACTGAAAGCCTTGTAGCCTCCATGAATATACAGGGACCTGGTCCTGTGGTCATAGACACTGCTATGGCCATAGCCCCCTTGGACAAGGGCACCCTGGGTATGTAATATACTCCATGTGTTCTTACCTGAAAAGGGCAAACAGTTAAAGGCAAATGTTGCAGGCTCCTCCTAATTCTTAAAATTACCAATTAGCTTAAGACAAGAGAAGAGATTTCAGGAGACCTGATACATGTAACTTTCTTTAACCATTTTATTTTTAAAGGAAGGCCATCTAAAACTTGTAACAAATCCAGGTGGCCAAACTTCAACCTGTTAAATGTTCTGATGTTCTAATATGTAGGAAAAGAATTACATTAAATTTAAAAGACTCAGATCCCCCTCAATTGAACACTTAATTCCCCATGACCTTTACGGACCAATTTGCAGATGTACTTTACGGACCTACTTTCTTAAAATATCATCCACATCCACAAAAACAAATATAATAAAATTTAACCAAAGGAAAGATTATATAATCTAAGGGGAAATCACGCTCCATTAAACCAATCTCTAAAGGGCTTTTCAAATATTTTTTTTTCTTCAGAGTATTTGTTGATCAAACCCTTTTAATTTATTTTATTTTCAACACTCATAGCATTTAGTGCTATTTTTGGCTCCTTGCCAAATTGACAGTAACAAATATATACCACATAGCAGCATCAATAATCTAAACTTCACTGGCAATTCATCAATGCTAACTGTATCTCAAGATCAAGTATTGGGTCAACGTTACGTTGAATTCTGTTAAACAGTCATAATAATAAGAGTAAAATTTTAAATCTGACATTCAAAAATGATTCACTGAAAAAAATATACATACCCAAGTCATACTCCTGCACATTGCTAATATATCCATAGAGAGGGCAGTGACCAAAGATAATCAGCATGACCACTCGGCCAGTTTTAAATGTGACAATGTGTGCTGAGTGCCCAACCACTGCATACTGCTCCTTTGCTTTAGGGGACAACAATACCCATGATTCATTATGAATATGAAACACTCTCAACTCATTGGTCACATTCCCTGTTGAATCAATTTTTCCTCCATACATGTAAATTTTATCCTAGGGAAAAAATGTAAACAAAATTCTAAAAGACATCAAAAGGATCAAATCTAAACACAGAAAAAGGAACAGTTCAAAACCTCAATATTATTCTTAGCTTAAAAAGTGTTAGTGAAAAGCACCTTTCAGTGAATTATTAGGAAAAGGATGTAGAAAGAACAAAATAAAATAAATCTAACCTATATCCCTAATACTTTGCCACTTTTCTTGGACTTCCTCACACAAGATCTTTTACAATATAAAATGGCTTGGAAAAATAAAGTTGAAATAAACTAAAAAACAGGGAAATGAAAATGATTACTCAGTTACATTGTAATGTCGCTATCCTTGGCTAAACTTGCTAATGAACGTAAAAGCTAACCTACACTAGATTAATTTTTAACCATTTAGTATCACAATCATAATATCCCAGTTTGAATATGAATCCATTTAAATCTCTCGGGTTAGTTTCAACTTTAATTTCCACTTATAACTTAGCCAATTATATACCCCCCACATTAGAAAGTTTTCCCCCAATTAAAAACCAACACTGAAGTCAAAATCAGAGACAGAAAGTAGAATGGTGGTTGCCAGGGGCAGGCAGGAGGAGGGAATGGGGAATTATTGCTTAATGGGCATAGAGTTGCAGTTTTACAAGATCAAAAGAATTACAAAGATGAAAAAAAAAACCAAAGCAAAAAAAACAAGAATTACCAAGATGGATGGTGATGATGGCTGCACAACACTATGAGTGAAATTACTATCACTGGATTGTACACTTAAAAATGGCTAAGTATGTTATACATACTTTACCGCAATAAAAAAGATTAGGAAAAAATCCAACACTAAATAGCTATTTCAATCACATAATATGAGAAAGTAACAGTGGAAGAGTTGAGTTTCTAGCTTAGTACGGAGTGGAGACATTTTACCTTGTATAATGCTAAAGAATGACCATATCTAACAACCACATTGTTCACAGAATGGTTCAGTGCAAGCCACTCCCTAGAAGCAAGGTCATACCTACAAAACAAACAGATCATATTTTCACCCAAATGACAAAACAGAACATCTTGAAGTCTTTGTGATCTAATCCACTTTGGAGATGCTCGTTAAATCTGCAATGGATATGGTGAGGTACCTGGGCAAACAAACCTAACATCTGGGCCTATGGGGCACATGAGAGCTCAGGAAGGGGGAGCTGGGTTCCACAGCTCTGGGACGAGAAAGAAAATCTACTGGAATTTTCTAATGCTTCCTGAAAACCTCTTCTACACACTAAATCACTTGCAGGTTTGCATTATACTCAAGGGACTTTTATTACTATAACTTTTCTTTCATTTAACCATGCAAAAGTAAAGACACATACTGAAAAAGGGATGATAACTAAGTTAAAAAAAATTCTTGGCCTTTCCTTTTCTTTATCTAATTTATTTTAAAAAGTAATATTTTCAAAAAAACTAGAATATCATAGCATTTCAATTATACTATGAATACACTTAAAGACCTTTAAAATATAAAAATGCTCAAAAGAAAATCATTTATACTCTTACATTGCAGCGTTAATCACATTCAATATCTTAGAATATTAGTTTTGTTTTTGAGGAAAACATCATTCTATTGTTTTTATTAAAATTATACATACTCACTATAAAAAGTGTAATCAATGCAAAAAAAACAAAGACCCAAAAACTTAAAAATGACCCCAGGGCTTCCTTGGTGGCGCAGTGGTTGAGAGTCCGCCTGCCGATGCAGGGGACACGGGTTCGTGCCCCGGTCCGGGAGGATCCCACGTGCCGTGCAGCGGCTGGGCCCGTGAGCCATGGCCGCTGAGCCTGCGCGTCCGGAGCCTGTGTTCCGCAACGGGGGAGGCCACAGCAGTGAGAGGCCCGCATACCGCAAAAAATTAAATAAATAATAAATAAAAATGACCCCACATTCTGTCATCTAGAAATGAATATCATTAAGTAAACATCATTCCAGACATTTTCTATGCATACATACAGATAGAAGAATAGACTGATAATATACATTTATACAAAGGGGATCCTAATATAGATGAATTTTAATAAACGGTGTTAATTTTAATTTTATATAATTTAATAGAAAAAAGAAACCAAAGGAAAACCAATACTACTGTTACATTTTAAATGTTTTTCTATAAGTTTCCCTGAATACAAGATTTTTAAATTATGAAAAACATTATGTAAACAAGAAGATGTAAGAAAGTTTTATCACAACATAATAGCAAAAAAGGGAAACAAATATCCATCAATAGAAAATGGATTAATAAATTATAGATATCTATATAACATTTATAGAGTGAATATACTCAAGCAGTGTATTATTAACATAAATCTTGAAACAATGTTAAGCTAAAAACACAAACTGCAGAATACTGTTCCTGTAAAGACTAAAACAAGAAAATTTATTAACTCTAAAAATGTTCATATATATTAAAAGTCTAAAGATAAGTATGTGAACAAATGACATCACAATATCAGGATATTGATTATCTCTGGGATTTTAGAGGGGCATGTGGGATCTTAACTATATTAGCAATGTTTTATTTCCTAACCTGGATGATGAATGTATTAGCATTCATTATTTTTCTCTAAACCTTTCCCTTTGTTTTAAATATTTTATACATGATCTAAAGAAAACATAAAATGGTGACATTCATTAAATATGAATAACACTTAAATCAATACCAGCTATTATTTTATGTATTTTTTTGAATATTCTACATTTTAAAAATACATGAAAAGTTATTTAGAGAGTAAACTCCCTTTAGTTTTAAAATTACATGTAATTTAATTTTGGACAGACTCCACTAACTTCCTACTCTGAAAGTTGAAAACATTAGCACCCACATTTCCTCCCACTTCTTCTCCCAATTTTTGTTATATAATTTTTACATTGTCCAGGTGCAAAACATGCACATTCCATTCTATAATTTCATAGTTATTTAGTACTGGATCTATATTTTAGTTGAATCAGTCTCCTCACAGTCCTCTTACCACTTCTCCTTCTTGAGTCTTTAATTCTTAATTGGCTAGACTGCACTGTCAAGTGGTTATTCCTAGTGGAGATTATACGTGCTTCTCCCCGTAAATTCTTTCATGTTGAAGAATATCTGCTTACTAGCTTTAGAGGTGAATGACATCTTGGCTGCATATAATACTCATGGGCCATCCTTTCTTTCCCGCACAACTTTGCTGACGCTGCTCCCTTGAATGTTGCTGGTATTGAATGCTGCCAGTGGAGGTCTGAGGCCAGTCTGATTTTTTTCCACTTTTGTGTGGTTTGCTTTTCTGCTTGCAAGTCAGAAGTCTCAATCATTCTCATTCTCTCTCCCCCTCCTTTCTTCCCTCCCTCTCTCTAAATAAATAAATATACATAAATATATATAGGTATTATATATAAATATATATGTATTTCTCTCACTGTTTTTTAAAAACACAATATTGTACTTTACTTATGGTGGAAATAACTTAAATCCATCCAGGTAAATGTTTTAACAAAATGGACTGCATACTACTGCAACTTTTATGGCATTCTGGAAAGTGTTTCCTAAGAAGAACTAGCATGGCTTCTGAAAAACACATATATACCATATGTTCAAGCCAAAGGCCTGTTTCTTTAATCTTGAAAGAAAGAAACAGAGGGAGCACAGAAACAAGTCTCCACGTGACCCAATCCATATCTCTTTCAAGTGACATGGAAGGTGCTCAATCTGTATCTTAATGCATTTTACTCTTCCTCAATCAATAACGTGTCAGCCCAAGAGCTGGTCAGAGACACTAAGGTGCCGGCAGGTGCTCAAATCTGGTTAAGATGAACTGCCAAAAGACATTTACATAACAGGTTGTCACTCTCTTCACAATACAGAGAAGCGAACACAAGACAAGAACAATGTTGATGCAATAAACTGTAAGAAATGCCAAGTGCCAAATAAACGCTCCTTCTGGGAGCTGAGTCCAAGATAAAGGAATATTGAACAATTAGTTCTAAGACCTGGACATGCAGTTAAGCAAAGACAAACCTCACGAATTCAGAAGTAAGTGTCTTCCATAAAGGTGCAGCCACCTCTCTCACAAACTCCTTCCTGATGGCTGGTAACACAATGCCCATCATGCCACAGGGCACATCCTCTGCCCCTCACAGTGGCCTGATATTCCAATTACAGTGTCTGGCCATCCAAAGACCACAGGAAAGGCTCTACAGAAATTGAACTTGACCCCAGCCAGCAGGAGTCAAGAACTACCTGAGGCTTCCCACCCAATAATTTGCCGTTTATCCTAAAAGTTCAATAATTTGATCAAATCAGGTCTTGTCATTGAATAACTGTAATATTTTCCCTGAAACATCTTGTACTATTTCAATCCACTTGTTCTATTTGTTAGGTTCTTTTCTTCAGTGACAGCAATTATCTGTATTATATTGGACTTTCTGTCTCCCATGTCTTTACTTTTTCAAATTATTTAACTTTTTCATCTGTATTCATTGGAATCACATCTACCAAGCTGTCAGCAGTTCGATTTTCATTGTAGTTTTTGCTGTACGTAACTTATTTATATTTCTTTACATGTGTACTCTCCCATTTCATCTCATTGTTATTATCTTCTTGCTTTTCAGCTTGTTTTTCTGAATTCAAATTCTTATATTGATCCATAGCACAAAGCAGTTGGAAGGAATACTTTTCCTCTATGATCAGTTGTTATCAGTTTTACACGCTGTGTTCTTTCCTCTTTACCTTTTCACCATAGATATTTGCACTTGCTACAATGTCACTTCTTGTGTCTTGCTTGTGGTTAGACATTGCTCTCCAGACATTACACTTGCAAACTGTGGGTGATTTCTTAATTCTTTTTCCACTGTATCTAAGACAAGTTTATCTTTCCATCCTAGCTTTAGTGTGAGAGTTGGCATTTTATGTTAGGTCCACTTTTCTGAAGTCTGAAGAAATGCTGGGGTTCAGGTGGGGGTGGGGGTGTGCAGTCTATTTGAATAAAATATCCAGAGTCTATTCGCCTCTGAGATTTTGTTTAAGTGTCCTATCCCAGGGTTCAAATTTTGGGATAGCCAAATTACATAGAAGCCCTGACTTCTGGGCAGACTCAGCCACTTGATCAATTTCCCCCTTTTTCACTTGATCCTCCTTAGCAACTATTTCTTACACTACTCAGTTAAAAAGGCAAGAAAACAATGATACCCACTCAGTTTGCTTCTCTCTAGATTTGGGGCTATTAGTGAGAACTCTCAGAATTTCACTCATATGGTTTCTGTGGGGGCTTGCTGTTTCTGTGTGTCTGTTTTAAGTTTATCAGATTAGGTGATACTCCTTACCTTGTGTGGTTACCTGTTGCTCAAATTTCTTATTATTTCTTTTTTTAGCTTAAAAAAAACCCTATTTTTTTGCTCAAGGGAAGGAAATTCAGTGACATTTCAATTGGAAATCTTAACCAGATGACCAAGATAATTTGTTTTGCCAGAGGACCCTTGGGTGACATAAAATGGGAACTGCTTTTTAATGCAACTTAAAAGTTTTGGGTTAACAGGGTTGTGGAGAAAATAGTGAGGGCAATTCCTGCAATATGCTTATATAAGAGTATAGACGATGATAAAATTTGTGATCTAAGTTCCAGAAATACTCCCTCTAAAAGGAGTCACTATATTCACTTTTCATGAGTTAGTAAAAATTTATTTGAAACTATATTAGTATTTACACAAAATACATAAAGCTGTAAAAATCATGTTTTGATCAAGTACAAGAAGAAAAATGTTAAAACCTAAAAAATAAATGTGGAGATACATTCGCTAGATTACTCCTTTCTGCATGTGGACGCCGCCGAGTAAGCATCATTGACATCTTCCCTCTCCACTGCCGTCATGTCTAAGTCAGAGTTTCCCAAAGAGGCCAAACAATTGCGGAAGCTCTTCATTGGAGGTTTGAGCTTTGAAACAACTGATGCGAGTCTGAGGAGCCATTCTGAGCAGTGGGGAGCACTCACAGACTACGT